GCTAAAATTTATCAAAAATTTTTATCAATAAAATAAATTTTCAATTTTAAATTCAATACTTTATGATTTAGTCTATTCCATCTCACAATTATCTTTCTAAAATTTTATTATTTACTTCCCCCTTCAGACTGTTTATTTACCCTCATTCACTGCCCTTTTCTATAGAGTCATCAGCTCATCTATTTCCATATTTCCACATTTTCTCTTCCTTCCCAACATTTCTCTTCTGAATTTTTCAGAGATTTTCCCTTTTCTTTTTTACTTTTTTGTGATAGCTTATTTCATTACTTCCATTTTTTAGAAAAAATTTTTTAAAAAAAGTTTTTTCATTATCAACCAGTTATCATTTCTTATCTGTTTTACTTTCAATTTACTTTCACTTTTTTGCAAATTTTGAAAAGATTTTTACTTTTCAAACAGGTGAATTTGGCTATTTCAGAAACACCGGGAACGGGTACTTCAAATTGTCAGCTGAAATTTTTGGAATATATTACTATCACCATCAATATCATTATTTTTTTCATTCTGGTTTGCAATTTTCTCTTCTGCTCCATCTAAAGTTGCTGAGGGAAAATTGTTAAACCAATACCATCAGTCAGTTTTTTACAGTGTTTTTGGGCAAATGATTAAAATATATTTTATCTGATCACATCAGATTTACCGGCAGTCTTTTCATTTTTCAGAATCTTAAAATTTTATTTTCGTATTTTTTGAGAATTTTTAAAAAAATATTATCATTTTTCTCTTCTGGGATTTTCATCGCTTTCTTCATTCTGGTAATATTGCGTTGTATATGACCCTTTTCAGAAAAAATTTCTCAAAAAATTCTCATTCTACTTCTTTCACGGGTTTTCCAAGTCATCATCTCTACACTATTTACATCATTTGGTTTTTTTTTGTGTCAGCACTTTTTCTTTAATTCTTCACTTTTAAATTTTCTTTACATCTGAAATTGATTAAAACACTTCCCTTTTTATTTATTATACTTTTGCATTTCCCTTTTATATCTGTTAATGCTTTATTAGAATTATATTTGGAAATCTCTTTATTTTCATAAATTTGCATTTTTTCCAGAATTCTCTTCTTTACAAAAAATTTTAAATCACCAAATATGGTCTTCATTTGTCTTGCTTTTATTGTCCCCTCATCAGAAGAAATTAGACCATTTACTTTTTTCTAATATTTTCTCCCTTTTTTTCTGCTCGGGGAATATAATCATTTTTTTCACTTCTCTCATTTCACAATTTTTCTTTTTGTATTCCATTTCTCGCTATCATATCATTTTCATTAAAGCATTTCCTTCCTTAATTCATCATTACCCCTTTTATGTATCCCACCCCAAAGTTATGGTTTGCTCATGCTTGAAAAACGTTTGGGCAAAATACCACTTCCTTTTTCCCCTCATTTTCAACCAAATTCATTTTTTTCAGCAATTTTTTCATTACTGATTAAATTCATCCACAGACTTTTTTGGGTAAATTTTTTAGAATTTTTCACAGATCACATTCAAAGAACATTCTCATTTTTGTGTTCTTTGTAATACAGGGGTTTTACCTTTCAGGAGAACCTTTGCATTTTTTTTTTACCTATGGCTGTGATTTTTCGACTTTTTTTTCAAAAATTTTTCTTTTATTTAAAAGTAAAACACTCTTTTTTTCCTTTTAATTCATTTTTTACTCAACTCACTTGGAGAAAAGGCTGTGCACTTGTACAACGGTCATCATCATTTCATTAAAAAAAAAAAAAAAAAAATCATCAACTCCAAATATCGTCATCTCTATCATTTTGTTTATTTCACTTAATTGCCCACTGAAATGATCGTTTTATACCATCAGTTAATCATTTGGAAGCGTTTATTTGTCATTTTTTACTTATTGCCAATCTCTAACCCTCTACAAACTGTGTGTCCTTTGACATCTCTCTTAGCTTTCTCTGACTTGTCTAGTGTTTTTTTTACTTTTAGAATTTATTTTATCATCTTCACGGTCTGAAGATGAGTTATTTGAACTTTTTCGTCTGTTTCAATCATGATCCTTTTATATTTTCTCTTCTTGAACCACTACCAATGTTGCCTATTTTTTACTTCTGGATTTAAATTCACCAATTGAATCTTCCCATTGCTTGCCTTCCGAAATTCTCTATCAAAGACAAATTTTCCCTTTCTATTTCAGGATGAACTTTTTTTCATAATGCTGAGAAATTTTTGAAGTACAAAACTGAGTATAATCACAATATACACCATTTGTAACGCTGTTCTGCCATGTGTGAGGCAATGTGTACACTCAAGTCAAAGGTATTTTTTTCCCTAGGTACGTCAAATCCACAAAGCCATTTTAGACTCATCATCCAAGCTCGGTGGTTAATTCCGTGAACTCTTCATGCATAACTAAATGCAGTCGGAAATGGAAAGTCCTATTCCAGAGTAACTACAATATAGTACAATTGTATCTGGTCACTCCATTTAACTTTGTTTGACTGGTTGACTGGTGAAGCATCACTAGATCCAGATTCTGTAAATATAAACAATAACATAATGATAGATAGATATCAATGAGAGTAATCAAAAATAACCTTAACTCAAAGAAACTTGTCTGAAAAATGTTTAATCTGAATTATCCTTATGATACTATAGGGGCCTAACAAGGTGGAGGCATTTTTACCCCTATAGTAGCCTTGGGTTCCAGTCTGTCGATTTTTTATGTGCTTCTGTTCAGCAAAATCTACATTGATATATTCAAAAACATGGTCGAGTATGAAATAGATGATCTTATGAATAAGCAAAAAATTATCAACCCCTGAATCCCAGGCTACCCCTATAGTAGCATTATATATTAGTTCATAAAACTTTTATAAAGGTCTACTTGGCAATGCTATATGCCAAATACAAAGGCTTAGTATTTATCCACAAAAAGGTAAGACATATTTTCCTATACCTTAGTCTACATAAGGCAAGTGACTCCAGCGGCGGGGCCAATTTTAACCCGAAGTTCATGATTAATATAACTTTTGTAGAAATCTACAAATTGATGCTACATACCAAATATCTAACCCTGGGCTTTGTAGTTTCACACAATAAATTTAAATGTGTTATCCTATATAAGTTTATATAAATCTAGTGGCCCTGGGCTGGCCAATTTTGGCCCTTAGGGGTTTGATTAATATCAGTTTTGCAGAGGTTTACAAGGTAATGTCACATGCTAAATATCTTAGCTCTTGGCATTGTAGTTTTTGTGTGTGCAAAATTAGACTGAAATATATTTTCTCATACAAGACTATATCAACTCAACTAAGTGACCCAAAGGGCTGGGCCATCATTGACCCAAGGGGCATTTATTTTTTACCTGTTTTGTAGTGGCCAACAAACAATTTGTGTCATATCAACTCTATGCATTGTAGTTCCACAAAAATAAGATTTAAATGTGTTTTCCCACATAAAAATGTTTTAAAACAAAGTGAAATAAACCTAAGGGGGACACTTGACATTTTTTTTTTTTTCTAATCGACACATAGGAAGGAAAGTTAGTTTAGGGTAGAAGCCCTTCTTCCCGATAAAAAAACTATAAAATTTGTAAAAAATTTAAAAAATTCAAATCCTTTTGACCTAGTGGTCAAGGGTTTCATTAAATGGCCAAAGGCACAATTAAATTAAACACTTGAGTTTTTTTAAAAGTGTTTTTTTCCCCAAAAATTTTTTAAATAAAATCAAATATCATTTTGCCCTTATTCAAGGTAAATTAAAGGCAGACAATTAAATTATTAAATCTTGTCATTTTGTTAAGGTTTTTTGCCAAATGAAAAATCCTTAGTTTAAAATAACAAAATTTTTGAAAATTTGGGGGGTAAAACAAATCAAAATAATTTGTTTTTGTTTGGGTTTATTTTGAACATTATTTGAAATCCAATTTCTGTGGAAAAAGATATGCCTTTGGCTTTACTCTGAAATTTAAAAAAAAATTTTAACAGTATGAACAAAAAGCAAAGTGAAATGAAATCATGATTATACCTGTGTATGTTCTGGCAGGACTACACGATGACCTTGAAAACTTTCCTGGAGATGACCTTTCATTCATATCTTGAGTTACAACTTCTCCAACTTTGTTCACAAACTTGACAGTCTTCATTGTAGGGTGGTGACATTTGTAATGGGTGTACATTTTGGAACTAAATTGAAAATAACATAAAATTTTCTTACGTTCATGAATATTTTGTATTGTCCGGTAACCAAACAGTTCAACATATCAACTAACCATGATGGGCCCATTATGCCTCAGAAATGCTATCATTTTTATTTTTCAAAATATGTTTATTTTTGGTATCTTGTTAGAAATACTAATTTGCCATAAAATGAATTATCTTTGCTCTTTTTGCTTTGTTGACAATAGGTATAATTACAGTGAATTAGCGTTTTGTATCCGAGTCAAAATACTTCTTAAAATACTTAATTTCACATCCTTTACAACACATTACTGTTTTTCAATGCTACTTTGCTGTAAATCCTTTATTAAAACATTATTAAACACATCTTTAACATTTCTATATGAATTTCTGAGGAATAATGTGCCTTTAAGTAAACAATTTTTTAAAATTCGCATCTAATTCCCTCTGTCCGTTTTGTGAAATAATTGGGAAACTTTTATTAAAATCAAATAGTCAATGTTCAAAAACCTTTAAACTTATTTTTAATAGATAATTTTTAAAAAATATTTAATTTCTTATGAAAACAAAAAAATATAAGAAAATTAATAATTGTAACTTTTTTCCAAAAAATTAAATAATTCACGGAAAAAACCAAAATTTTTTGGGAAATGTCCTTTAATCCATCCGCTAAAACAGACAAATCCATTTTCTTTATTCTTTTATTTTAATTTTTTGGAAAAGATGTTGTAAATGCACCAGCTTTTCTATTAAGTTTAAAATTTTTTGTTTTATGCGTGAACCTCAAAAAATTTTTAAAATAAAAAATTTTCAACATATTACTTAGAAAATTTAAAATTAATAAATTAAATAAAAATTAAATTCAATAAAAAATTTTTAAGAACAAGTTGAAAAAATAATTTTTTAGGAGTTAACGGTTAACATTTATCTAAAATTTGTATAAAATCAAAAAATATTCAATCAAAAACAAAGGGAATTCTTTGAAAGGGGTTGCAAAATTTTCCCGGGAGCCAACAGTTCCTTTGTGTTAAGGTGTCTGCCCTCAACCCAGGAATCATGGGTTCGACCATTTCTGTTCCATTGAAAAATACTGGTTGGTTCCAGGATGAGATTCAAAGTGATTAATAAAGGGTTTTTAAGAACTTGTTGGGAATTAGATAAAAATTATGTTTGAACAAAGCTTTACAGGAAAGTAATAAAACATGATAAGTAATATTTTTGCACTTAATAAAACAAATAAACCTTTACTCACCTATTAGCTGAAGTGTAAGAACAGCTTAAGCACTTAAATGCTGGTTCCGTCTTCACACTATGGTGTCTGGCCACATGAAGCTTCAGATTTTTTTTCTTAGGATTCATATAATCACAACCAGTGCATTTAAACTTTTTGCTTCCAGTTGGTGTCTTGACCACTTTATATTTCAAAGGCTGCAGTTCCTCTTCTTGCTCATTTTCATCATCTTCTTCTTCATCAATACTGGTATCATTAGTGTCACCGTCTGTTTTTTTAGCAAACTTTTTAGCAGGCAGTTCTGTATCACTATCAATTACCAGAGGCCGTTTTTTACTGATACCAGCATGTACTGCAGATACATGTTTCCTTATAGTTGCTTTTCTGTCAGAACTGTACTGACAAAAGTCACAGTAAAACAGCTTATCTTTCCTTCGAATGCCTTCCTCTATCAGCTCCATTTTGTTTAATTTTGCTGGTCTAAATTTTCCAAGCATCATCTTTTGTTTTATTGTACTTCTTTTGGCACTTTCATAAAGTTTCTTTATTTTCTGTTCTATAGCTTCATCGGTTTTCATGTCATATTGCTCCGGTTTATCCGAGTGCACTGCTTTTACGTGAAGTTTACAATGGTCTTCTCTTGAAAATTTACTATCACAATACTTGCAACAGAATGGTTTGTAGTTAAAATGGATGTACAGATGTTTCAGAACAGTAGTCACTGATGTAAATTTCTTGTCACATTTTGGACATTTGGCCATAACCACTTGATCATCGGAGATGATATTCACTGGTTTTGATACCTTTTCTTGTTTAATTATATTGGGGACAGTTTTTTTTACTGGCTCTTTTGCATATCGAGCAACTTTCTGTAGATGCAAATTTTGACAATGGTTCATCATGTGTCTCACTAATGGTGTTTTATAGGAACACTCCTTGCAGTACAACATTGTACCTTGATGGGTTGTATTAATATGAAACTGCAACTTCATGGCCGACTCGCATGAATATGACACGCACAACTGACATCTAATTTGTTCCTCGTCTGATCCATCTGCTTCATTAGCATCCGACAAAGCTTCAGACAGCGATTCAGCAGAATCAAAACTCGACGACGAGGGCAAATGCTTCAACATCCCTTTGTCTTGTCTGACTGGTATTTTAATCAATTTGAATTTTGAAGACATAGGTAGATTTAAAACTGTTATCTTTTTACCAGAATGTCTTTTCGATGCATGCCTATATATAGCTGCCTTTACAGTATTCTGGAAAGAACATAAAGAGCATTTCATCACTGGTTTGTTACACTTTGTTTTAAAATGAGCGTACATACCACTTTTTACTCTCACGCTTTTCACCGCATTCTTTGCATTTGAACGATGTTTTCATTTCAAAATATCCCTGACTTTGTTATTGTCAACGGCATCCTTCTTCACTTGCTTTCCCTGGCTATTGATTACATATTTACTATCCATGGAAAGTTCATCTTCTTCTTCATCCTTTTTAGAGGTACTAGATATAGAGGACTTGCATTCTTCATCCTTTTTAGAGGTATTAAAATATAGAGGACTTGCTATCTGATTTACTACTGTCATTCTTAATTTGCTCCTTCTGCTCCTTGTCTGGTTCATTTGTCAACTTTTCATACAGAGATTTTCCATTTTCCAGGACTTTTGCTTGAGTAGGATGAGGAACACTGTAAATATGTTTTATAACTGAAAACTTATCTCCCCTATAATCGCATACAGAGCATGTATATATCTTCATTGGATCTTTATGACTATCCAAATGTAAATTCAAATGATGTTTAGTCCTGGCAAGATATCTACACTGTAAACATTGTAAAATGTTACGAGTTTCAACTTCTCTTGACTCTTCTTTAGTAATTTTTGTTTTATCAGAATTTTCATCTTCCTCATCATTTGATTCGTCATCTATTGTCTGATACTCATGGACTGGTTTCTTTACTATATTCTTAAAGTCACCGGTTCTATTTTGCTGAGTTCCTGATACATCAGATAAGTTGAGAGTATCATTAAAGTCTTGGCGGAAAAATCCTTTCTTTGAATTGCTGTTCCAGGACAGATACCTCAACAGAATCATACAGAATGCTCTTTGATGAATGCACTTTTTGTATATGACCAACCATTAGAGTTCTTTCAATACTGCCTTCCTCACAGTACCTACACTTGAAAAACACAATCTTCAAATGATCAAGTATATGTCGATGTAAAACAAATCTTTTGAAAATTTTCTGCTTACATATTCGGCACTGATATTTCATGTCTTTTTCAAATGGTATGAAACATGCAGAAAGAGCAGCATGCAGTTTCTGTTCTCCAAGTATATATGAATCTTTGGAAGGACTATTAAGCATTGCCTTTGATTCTCCAGATAAAATATTTTCCTCAACAGCTGACTCTTTCACTGCTGTAAATGGATTTTGTAAAGGTTTTGCAGACATGGGTAACTGTTGTATTAAGGAGTTTTTCTTTCTTGTCAAATCATTTTTCGGAAACAGTGAAGTGCTTGACTTTCTAGCTGTTGGCTTTGTTGAAGTCTTTTTCTGATTTGGTCTAATTGGTTTAACGCCTGGGTGTTCTTTCAAATGTTTCATGGCTTTTAATCGCATGTTTGTAGTAAACGAACAAATTGGGCAGGAAAATATCTGTTTAAATATATTACCATCTGGAACAACTATCTCAATCTTGTTTTGCTCATCTGTCTCCATTGGAGCATTTGCTGTCGGATCATCATTGCCTTCTGTTGAAGATTGTCCCTCTTTTCCTGCTATACCTGTATCATTGTTTTCTTTGACATTTACATAATTACCATTTTCTACCTTTTCTATTTTTCTCAATATCCTCAAATCCTGGCCAGAATGGTCTTTTTCTAAATGACTGATTATCATATCTTTCATAGTTGAAGTGTAAGTGCAATATTTACACTTGAAAAATATAAACTGTTTGTTCTCAATGTCCTTGTGGTCATTCACCATATGCTCTTTTAGGTTAGATTTGTGTTTGAAGAAATCATTACAATATTCACAATGATATTTACATTTCTTTTTCCTAGCATCATTTCCAGAGTCGAAACTTGAATCATTTTCTGAGGGACTGGATTTTTGACCTTGTTTCTCATTGTTTGATATCACATTCTGATTTATGCGATGGACACTGGTTTCATGTGCGGTAACTTGTTCTGCAGTCCTTGCTTTGAATGAACAATATTTGCATTCAAAATGATTACTTTCTACGACTTCCTCCTTCAAAGTGTAAAGAGCTTCTTTTGCATGGGCATCTTTAACGTGATCCATTATGTGACGTTTTTGATTTGAACAATACGAACATGCAGTGCAGCAAAATACCTTGATTGTATTTTTTCCTACATGATTTTTAACATGGGTTATAAAGTGAGATAAGCCTTCAGTTCCTTTAGGACAAAGATTGCATACAAATCTCTTCTCTCTTTCTGGCTCTGTATCGTGAATTGATATGTGTTTAGCATGAAGAGATTGGTTGTAGCTTAAGTATGAGCAATGCGGGCATTCCAAAGACTTTGGTCCTCCTTTGAAGTATGTATCCGTTTTCCCCTTCCCCTTTGTAACTTTTTTGTCGGCTATTTCCTTTTGATGACCCTTTGGTTCTTTACTTTCACTTTCTTTATGTAAGTCGCATTGATCTTCTTCGGGCAGACTTAACGCATCATCCCCATCTCCATTTTCAGAATCTTTTCCCAATAAATTCTGTTCCGTGGCATGTTTTTCTTTAGCACAACTTTCTTTCTGGAAATCATTTAGTAAAGCTGGAAAATCAATTGATCCAGTTTCTTCTAAATCTTTCTCTCTTAAGCCAGGCTCGTAAATAACCTTTGATTTTGGAGGAACATAGAAGTTAATTTCCCTTTCGTAGCACACAACCTGACTAGTCACAGACACCATCCGCATTTTATCTGGATGAAAGAATCGTATGTGCAACATTACGGTATGCTTGTTCACAAATTTGAATGAACAATATGGACATACCACAAATTTAAGAAGATTCTGCTTCAAATGCTGCTCCAAGCTCTCTATTGAAGGAAACATTTTGTGGCAATAGATACACTTAATTATCAGCTCTTCATTAGGATGAGCACGTAAATGACAAGTATACATGTGTAGTAAATTCGTTTTATATTTGCACAAATGCATTGGACACTTGTATAACAGGAACCGTTTGGCATTTGCGTGAGAAAAAATATGTCTGACATGGGCATCTTCGGTGTAATCCTTTTGACCACAGTGTCCGCACACATAATTATACTCTCTTTCATGTTGTTTTGACTGGAGGTGCTCCCTGTATTTAATTGAACTCAATCCTGTGTATGTACAGTTTTCATAGCCGCAAACGTAGAAAGCATGCTGGCTCTGTTTTGATAAAACTTCTGTATCAAAAATTGTCTTATTAACAAGGTTTAAGTTTTCATCCTGGTCTTCTTGTTGGGTCTTTGAAGAAACATCTGATTGCATATAATTATAAGACATCTTACTTATCTGGTTTACTTCTTCAAAGGTTTCGTCGTCTTTTGATTCATTTACTGATGGATCATATACTTTCAGGTTTGTTTCTAAAACTTTGGACACTATTTCTTGGGAATTGTTACCTGGTTCAGACAAAGATTGATCAAGCAGATGTGAATCCTTTAAATTACCGTCATCATCTTCCTCCCCTACAATAATGTCTGGTGACTGCTTACCATCATTTGTATTTTCAGGTGCTTCACTATTATGACCCGTGTCTTTCTGTTTCTGAAAATTTTCTAAATCAGCAACTGTATCACCATTACCGCTCTGTTTTGGTTGTCCTATATCAGATATCAGATCATTAACAGCAGATTGTTTGTTTCCATCATCTAGCTTGTCTCTATTCTGTACATCTGAAGACATGGTTTCATTATTACTTTGAGCATCTTTTTTGCCCATTGGTTCTAAATTATTTGGGCTTGACAAGCTAAATGTATTACTTATACGAATCTGAAGACCTTGCGTCTCCCCATTCTCATCTTCATCATCAAGCACAATGACCTCAGTAGCTAGTAAATCTTGATCTTGTTGGTTATCCTCCTGGTTTTCGTCATCATCAGTTATGTCAATAACCTCTTTTTCACCAACTTTACTAATTTTATGACTTCTTGCAGTTGCTTCTAAATTATCTTGTGTTGACCTCCTGATTAGGTTGCATACAATATTGTTTACAAGTTTACAATCTAATATATTTTTAGATGCTATACAATCTGGGGAACATGTTTTACAAGCCAATGGTTCCCGATGAAAATGTTCCCAAACATGTCTCCTGAAAACATACTCTTCTCTGGTACATTTCTTACACGCTTCACAAACAAACCCTATGCCCGGTTTAATTTTGAAAAGATATTTCTTAGGGATAGTGAGAATGTCATTTACAAAAGAAATCGGTGTTTCCAAACTTTGTTGAACATTAAGGTTTTTACCAGATATGTCTTGCTGTAGCACCACTGGTCTTGTTGATGACTGTACTGTACCAAAATTTACAGTTGTATTTTGTACACTACTTCTAACTGATGTATTGTTAACATTTCTCACAGTTGTAGCTGAATTTGTGGTCAGCATTTGGGGTATTTGACTAAATGGAAGTCTCTGGGTAGTTTGGCTTGGTGGCTGCTGCATTCTTAAATTGGTATCATTGCTACCTATACTTACAGGTAAAGGTTGGATTGGGACAAAATTACCTGCACTTCTTGCTTGCTGATAAAACATATTATTCAAAATTTGACCTTGTTGTGATATCTTGACTGGCTGTCCCACAGGCACAAGCAAAACATTTTGTTGAGGCAAAGAGGAGACGGAAGAAGAAGTTGTTTTTGTTGGCTGCGTGCAAGTGTATTCAGTAATTGTTTTTAATTGGTAAGGTATTGGCTCCTTTCTTGATGCTTCTAATTGAGTTCTGTTTGAATCGCCTGCCAAGGGATTTGCAATGTCTTTTATTTTCTGTGAAATAAATGTAGGCTGCATTACATTTGTAGATCTGTTAATTTGACCAAACAAAGTATCCAAATGTTTGGATTTTGCTTCTTCTGCCGGTGAAACACGAGTTAAAGTGCCTCCTTTAGAAGTGTATTGATATGGATATGGAGCTATAGTTTGGAAAGTAACAGTTGTCCTTGCTGGAGGCATGGGCCTATTAGCAATAACTTCGGCATCAGAATCGTTCACAACCATAGCATTGTGATCAACACTTGCATTTGGTGCAGTTGTAGCAGCTTGAAGTATTACTGGTAATGCTAATGCTGAGGTTATAGGTGTTACTATTTTGGTTGGATTAGCATTACTTGTTATCACTTGTGAAACTCCAGGAACAGTTTGTGCGGGCTTTATCATATTTATCAGAACTGGTCTGTGATGAATTGTCGCACCTGATACAATAGATACTGGATGCTGACTTATCACTATAGATTCTGATGTAAGTTGCGATGGGAGAACAGTAGTATTTGTTGGGTTATTAACACTTACTCCACCTATTGCCACACTTTTAACCGCATTTGCAAAACTTTCAACCTTTGAGCTCATTTCTTGCTTTTGATTGATCAGTTCTTTAGAAACTATTTGGTTAGCATGATTTTTAGGTGTCTTAGGTATTACTAATTTTCCATTTATACTAATTGTTCCCAACTGCATTAACTCCTCACAATATTTTCGTCCATTTTTCATTCCTTTCAGTCCACATCTGGCATTACCCTCTGGATGGTCTGTCTTAGTATGTATCTCAATCAACTGCCGACTAGGAAATTTTCTGTTCTGGCAAGTTAAACAGACATACGGCCAGTCCTGAAGATGACAGACAATATGTTCTTCAAACTCTGCTTTGATTTTCCACACTTCATTACAGGTATTGCACTTAAATTCCTCATTTTTGTATGTAAAGGTGATATTTCCTGTCGATCGTACAGACAGACATGTTGTACAGTGTTGCTTGAACAGTTCTGTGTCATCCGTGGTAAACTTGCAGTTATTACACCTGTAAGAGAAAGAAAATATAAACAGTATTGATTAATTTTTTTTTTCTGTTTTGAATGCCAATTGTAACACATTTTTGGTCATATTTCAGCAGTCAATCCACCAAACTGGCTATCCTGGGAAACTTTTTCTTCTTTTTTTTTTAAGGTGGGGTGGGGGGTTGTGTGTTAATGCAAATTGCAAAATTGTAACGCATTCTTGGTCATATTTATGCCGTGTTTACAAATCAACCAAACAGGATTTCCCGGATATTTTGTTTCTCTGGTTTTGAGGATGGTTTTAATTCCAATTGTCACACATTTTGGTCATATCTTGGCAGACAATCCACCTTACTGGCTTTCCTGGATAAATTACCAGTAATTACCAGTTTCTCCTGATCACACATTATTTCTGAATCAATGATGTGATACAGATGATCATTAGTCTAAATGTTTGAAATCAGTAATCTTCCAAATGATCTGTCCTACTGTGTGTCAACAAAAAGTTAAAGGGATATCATTTGAGAATTTCAAAATATATTTCCAATCAGAGAAAATGTCATGACTTTAAAGCTTACTTTGTATTTCTCTTATAATTTATGGCGGCAGAAAAGAACAATATCAGGTATTTTTCTGTAAAGGCAACCATTTGTGAAACTCAATCATTTCGTATTGCTAATTTACAATTAAGAGTGTTAAATCACAATTAACCGTTGTATCACAATTAACTAATGTCTATTACATCACAATTAACTATGATATCACATTCTAACACGACCCGCATTTTTCCCTATTGAACATAGGAGAACCGAAAGTGTGTGTTATTATGCAATAAAATCACTGTTTGACGTTCTATATTTAGACATGTGACGTAATCATTAAACACGTGACGTAACCACTAAAAATGTGACGCGCTGAAAATAAGTACGGAAACAAATCAGGAGCAGTTTAGCTAATTATAATGTACGGCAGCATTTATTTGTTGATGTTGTGTTAGAATCGAAATAATATATCCAATTCTGTGATTTTATTGCTTGATAACATCACTGTTTGTCGATCGGATGCGCATCATTATATCACTCGGGCTACGCCCTCGTGATATACTTCCCCGCATCCGAACTCCAAACAGTGATGTTATTGAGCAATAAAATCACAGTTTGGAATATATTATTTCTTAAATTAACTATTACATCACAATTAAGTGTTAAATCACAATTAACTATTACATCACAATTAACTGTTATATCACAATTAACTGTTGTATCACAATTAACCATTTTATAAAAATAACCTGTTACTATATCACAATTAACCATTATATCTTTGTCTGTTTGTTTTTCATATTTATGCCTTTTCCCAACAGTATTTCAGTCATATAGGCGGGTAATTTCCTAACCATCATTCCTGGAGAGTTACACCAGTACTAGACTACCTTCCTCTGCGCTAAACTACCAAAGTTTGTTTGTTTGTTTGTTTCAATTTACGCCTTTTTCCAACAGTATTTCAGTCATATAGGCGGGTAGTTTCCTAACCATCGTTCCTGGAGAGTTACACCAGTACTAGACTACCTTCCTCCGCGCTAAACTACCAAAGCATCTCCCGGGGATCGAACCCATGCCAGATAATTGTGATATAACAGGTTATTGTTATATAACACTGTTAATTGTGATATAATGGTTACTGCCTCTGTGACCGTGGGGTTAGAGTCGATGACTTCTAATCCAGTTACCCCTCTATTAAGTCAAGCTCACTGCAAGCGCCAAGTGGGCTCGACAAAATCATCAGACCATGACCAAATTCCAAAAAGACCTGCATTTCCCTATGATATATCCATCTGACAAATTTGAGTCGAATGTTTGAAACTGTTGCCAATATAATGAACGAAGAATGATGGAACTGGTTAACACTTTATGCCTGGCTCTAGCTCTTTGGGTACTTTAAAAGAAGATTTTTTAAGTTTTTACTATATGCATATAGGGAAAATCTATGACCCCCTGGGGCGGGGTCAATTTCGACCCTAGGGCTTTTATTTGAACAAACTTGGTAGACATTCACTAAAAGATCTTTCATGCCAAATATCTAAGCTCTAGCTCTTATGGTTCTTTAAAAGAAGATTTTTTAATTTTTTACAAATGCATATAGGGAAAATCAATGACCCCCTGGGGTGGGGCCAATTTTGACCACAGGGCTTTAATTTGAACAAACTTGGTAGACACTCACTAGAAGATGTTTCATGCTTAATATCTTAGCTCTAGCTCTTTGGGTTCTTTAAAAGAAGATTTTTTAAGTTTTTACTATATGCATATAGGGAAAATCAATGACCACCCGGGGCGGGGCCAATTTTGACCCCAGGGCTTTTATTTGAAAAAACTTGGTAGACATTCACTAGAAGATGTTTCATGCTTAATATCTAAGCTCTAGCTGTAACGGTTCTTTAAAAGAAGATTTTTTAAGTTTTTACTATATGCATATAGGGAAAATCAATGACCCCCCGGGGCGGGGCCAATTTTGACCCCAGGGCTTTTATTTGAAAAACTTGGTAGACACTCACAAGAAGATGTTTCATGCCAAATATCTTACCTCTAGCTCTTTGGGTTCTTTAAAAGAAGATTTTTTAAGTTTTTACTATATGCATATAGAGAAAATCAATGACCCCCTGGGGCGGGGCCAATTTTGACCCTAGGGCTTTTATTTGAACACACTTGGTAGACACTCACTAGAAGATGTTTCATGCCAAATATCTAAGCTCTAGCTCTTAGGGTTGTTTAAAAGAAGATATTTAAAGATTTTTCTTTCGGTTGCCATGGCAACCAGAGTTCTGCATGGAATTAAATTCTTTGAACAATTTTTAAAGGTGACCACCAAAGGAACATTCCTGTGAAGTTTGGATGAAATTGGCTCAGTGGTTTATGAGGAGATGTCATTTAAAGCAAAAGTTTACGGACGGACGCTGGACGAAAAGCGATCACAAAACCTCACCCTGTCACTTTGTGACAGGTGAGCTAAAAAAAAACCTTGATTAAAAGGTAAATTTTCTCAGTAGAAAAAAAGGCAAAATTTTTCTTTAAATCCATGCCTTGGAGAGAGTCCTATTATGCTCTCAAAGAAGAGAATAAGATTTCAACATTTTTCAAAACCATTTGTCAGTGGACTTTGAAAATATTCGATGTATTACAAAAACTTTAACATAAATTCTAAGTCGAAGAAGGGGCATAATACTGTCAAAATGCTTGATACAGTTACCTCCTCCTGTCTACAGGTTGGGGTCATGATGGTCAACAAGTGTGCAAAGTTATAAAGCAATATGTCAATGGAATTTGAAAATAATTGAACTATTACAAAAACTTTAACAAAAGTGGTTACGCCCACGCTTGGGTGACTACAATAGCTCTCAGTGCTACAGATAAGCAGCGTATCTGCGTAATTACCCAATAATTTTGACCAATTTAACCAAATAAAATAAAACCTTTGCGTAATAAAAACGCAAATCAAAACATCAGTACCCTATTTGTTTTGATACTCTAGCGTATGTCTAATATCTCTAACCATAATTCACCTAGCAAAAACTGCTAAACAAATCCAAAAACAGCCTGTTTCCCTTCTGTACTTTCGTTTCCCATTTGTTAACCGGGAACAATTGAGTAGACAGCAGACTTCCCGAAAGTCAAAAAAACTGTCAGACATTCGGTCTGACAAACCATGAAAATCTGTCGGACCAAAATGAAATCTGTTGGACCAAATAAAATTGATCAAAATCAAAAATTAACTTGTGTTTGTATTTCTTAGACACTTTTTGTTTTTAATTTTTTCGCCGAAAAAATAGGCAAATTCCTTACAGCACTTTTCATCTCCTCCCTATCATACACCAACGATTCACTGTCTTGCTTCTATTTTTCATTAAATTTTGTCTCAGGTCTATTCTTTTTATCCTTTTACTGCTGTTCTGCGCGTTCCTCTGACGTAGATTTTTTATTTTTCCAAGGTTTGGCACCTTTAGCGACGCCATTTTGTATAGAGTGAGACTAAACAAGAGCCACCGCCGGGCGGGGGCAACGCTCGACTTTTTACTTTTTCTAAACGCAAACATAGAAAGGTTTGAACATATATTAACGTTTCCTTTTTATAAATTTAGTTGGTCTGTCTTGTCACATTAGTTTTCATTATATATTTTGTATATATATGAATAGAAACATTAAGCAAATTTCTAAAAATAGCAACAGTACGCAATTTCTTAAAATAGCAACATGACGCAATTTCTAAAAATAGAAAAAATTACGCAATTTCTAAAAATACAAAAAATGACATAATTTCTAAAAGTAAAAAAGTGATGCAATTTCTAAAAATAGCAACAATGATGCAATTTCTACAAATAGAAAAATTGACGCAATTTCTAAAAATAGAAAAAATGAAGCAATTTCTAAAAATAAAAAAAATGACGCAATTTCTAAAAATAGCACCAATGATGCAATTTCTAAAAATAGAAATTATGACGCAATTTCTAAAAATAGAAATTATGACGCAATTTCTAAAAATAGCACCAATGACGCAATTTCTAAAAATAGAAATTATGACGCATTTTCTAAAAATAGAAATTATGACGCAATTTCTAAAAATAGCACCAATGACGCAATTTCTAAAAATAGAAATTATGACGCAATTTCTAAAATTAGAAATTATGACGCAATTTCTAAAAATAGAAAAAATGACACAATCTCAATAATTAGAAACAATGACGCATTTTCTAAAAATAGCAACAATGACGCAATTTCTAAAAATAGCACCAATGATGCAATTTCTAAAAATAGAAATTATGACGCAATCTCTAAAAATAGAAAAAATGATGCAATCTCTAAAAATACTAAAATTAGAAATTATGACGCAATTTCTAAAAATAGAAATTATGACACAAATTCTAAAAATAGCAACAATGACGCAATTTCTAAAAATAGCAACAATGATGCAATTTCTAAAAATAGCACCAATGATGCAATTTCTAAAAATAGAAATTATGACGCAATTTCTAAAAATAGAAAAAAAATGATGCAATTTCTAAAAATAGCACCAATGACGCAATTTCAAAATATAGAAATTATGACCCAATTTCTAAAAATAGAAAAAATGATGCAATCTCTAAAAATAGAAAAAATGACGCAATTTCTAAAAATAGAAAAAATGACGCAATATCTAAAAATAGCACCAATGACGCAATTTCTAAAAATAGAAATTATGACACAATTTCTAAAAATAGAAAAAATGATGCAATCTCTAAAAATACTAAAAATAGAAATTATGACGCAATATCTAAAAATAGAAAAAATGATGCAATTTCTAAAAATAGAAATTATGACGCAATTTCTAAAAATGGAAAAAATGATGCAATCTCTAAAAATAGAAACAATGACGCAATTCTATAAAAAAAAAACAATGACCCAATATCTAAATAGAAACAATGACGCAATTCTATAAATAGAAACAATGACGCAATTCTATAAATAGAAACAATGACACAATTTTAGTTGTTGTTGTTGTTGTTGTAAATATATATATATAGACACACACACACCAATAAATATTTAAATATGGTCATTTAATGCACAAATCTGAGAAAATTCAGTAATTTAACCTTCAAGGTCAAGGTCATTTAAGAGCCCAAGCAAAGTTGGGTTTAATAAACAACAAGGTCTGGTCCTTTAGAATGTTCTCTTATAATATGAAGTTGATCCCTTCAATAATAGCAATGTTACAGTCAGTTACCGCCAAAACAATGAAAATTTCAATAATATGACCTTCAAAGACAATGTCATTAATGAGTGAAGGTCAAGGTCTTTCGGTATATCTTTAACAGTAATCTTTGAAGATTATTATGTTCAAGTTTCAGGACAATCCATTCAAAAATAACAAACTTACAGCCAATAAAAGCCAAAAAAATGAAAATTTCAATAATTTGACCTTCAAAGTCAAGGTCATTTATGAGTGAAGGTCAATGTCTGGCTGGTTATTTTTAAGGGATATCCTTAAAGATTATTATGTTCAAGTTGGAAGACAATCCATTCAAAAATAACAAAGTTACAGCCAATAACATCATGAACAAGCAAAAATTGGACTTTTAACCTTGAAGGTCAAGGTCATTTATGGATGAAGGTCAAGGTTAGTGTGGTCTACTGAAAGGTCTTGTCCCAAGGGTTGTTGTGGCCAAGTATGAAGACAATGCACAAAGAAATAAACAAGTTATGATTCAGGTACAAGTTTTCGGACGGCAACGGCTACAGCAACGGCAATGGCGACCTGACTATAGCAATACCTCTATTTTTCTTTCAAAAAAAAAAAGTCGAGCTAATAAAGGATTGGAGCACCACACTAAATACCGTATTCCGGTATATACCGGGCAAGGCGCTTGAATCGTAAAATGCCAAAATCTTGCTTTTTTACGCAACAGAATGAACTTTAATAGGTCTAATTCATCTTTTCACACTGATTTATGTATGATAATGCATGAAAAATGTAAAAATCAGCGAAAACAACGATATTTGTCTATTTTGTGATCATGATTTCTGCAAGCGTCTAGAGGTACTGCTCCAATCCTGTATTGAGCTAAATCCTTTTGTATACATGCGGCTTGGATAAAAGCCGGACAGTCATACCGATCCGGAATAAAAACTCGTCGGACCTGATCAATTTTTATCGGACATGTCTGTCGGACCGACGTATTTTGGGAAGTCTGAGACTGGTTGAATTAAAGTCGTTTTTTTTCGCGGAAAAGCTTTAAATACTTATGAGAGATAACTAAATCGCGGCCCAGACTGAGGTTTATTTACTTTCTGCTTCAACAAAATAGCGAAAACGGGGCCGAAAAAATCAATTATTTCAAACAAAATATTTGTTTATCTTAATGAGCCAGAGCCTAAGGATGTTGTTAAAAATTTGTTAAATGAACTTTTAGTGCAGTTTTTGTGTATATTGTTTATGAGATACTGGACAATATTTTGACCGATGCAAATCGATGCAAATCAATAAATTTGTTGATGATACCCAATTTTGTTTGTGTGTTACCCAATTGCTTGTCAAGTCCAGGGGTAAATACCCAATTAACTCAAAAGCTTATCTGTAGCTCTGAGCTCTACTTATTCTTATCGAATAGTCGGGCTAAAATTTAGCAAATTTGCCAATGGAAATGGGTCTGGTAATATGACCAGTGTTGACACCTAAAATAATGTACAGGCCCATAAGGCCACAAAAGATGCATTTCCTATATCTGGAAAAAACCTTATCTTGTTACAGTTTCAGAAAAATTAAAACTTATTTGCCATAAGATTTTGTCATTTTATCTATAAATGAAAAAGAACAAAAACCTTTAAAATACCTTTTAACACCAAGCTCTTGCCAATTTTTAGCTATTTCTTCAGCTGAAGGTCTTCTTGGTTTTGCTGCTGTACTTGCAAATTTATCGGCAGAACTCTCCTCACCCCTTGGTGGTTTAACATTGAACTGATCAAATGTTTGTTCTTGATTGTCTTTTACATTATCTTGATCACCTGTTTTCTTTGTATCTGTAGCCTCTCTATCAGTGTCTGTTTCATTTCCCTTCCCATCCTTGTCTTTTTCCTTTTTGGAGGCATCATCCTTTTCCTTGTCGTTTTGTTCTGATTCAGGGTTTTGGTTTGTGTCAGAAGTTTTATCACCATCAATTTGTTCATTAAATTTCTTCAAAGTAGAGTCAAGATTGTCTAATGCCTTGACAGTATTGTTCACTTCCATTTTGTAATATGTGTATTAGTGTTTCAAATGACTGGCACCATGGTCTGAATCTTTTTCAGGTCATATTTGAAGATGTATTGTATTGCTTGAAGCCTTTTGAGGACATCCACAGCAAGACTGATATAAATTTTCTCTGAAAATAAAAAGAAAACAACTTTTATTTAAAAATTCTTAAATGCATTGAAACTATGCAGTCGCTATTAAATATAAACTTGTCTATATTTTGAAACCATTCATATATTCTTTGAAGAGGGCCACCAAATAATCATTCCTGTGAAGTTTGGTAAAAATCTACCAGTACCTTAAGGTTTTTTATATTGAGAATATGTTCAATAAAATGTTGATATCAGTTAATTAGGAATGACAGATCCCCGAAATCATGCCATCACAAAAGCTAATATTTCAGCACTATTTACACCGGTAAGCCAAAATGTGCATTTAACCTTTTACCCTATGAGCATAAATAAATGTCAAAAATGGCCGTTTTCAGTGAAAAGCCTCCTGTTACAAGTTCCAACTGCTACAAAACTATGAAAAATGCTTCAATACTGATGAAACTTGGCACATTATGTTGACTACTTGGCACATATGTTGACTGAACCATAAGCTCTGTAACAACATGCTCAATTTTAAATTTCCTGTTACCATGGCTACGGTTGGACATCTCTTGCGAAAAATCACTATTTGCATTGTTTTTTCCCATCAAAACTGATTTCAAAGTGCTGTAACTTCTCAATGCAATGAGATAGAGTAAAAGGCTTTTCAGCGTCGGTTACTTGACCTAAGGCCATTTTTAGCCTGTCACATGTCCAAAATTTTCTTGGCGATGAGGGGGACCAAAGCCCCCGTTCAAATCCCCCAAACAGAAGGGGCATATCCCTCTTCTGCAACCCTTGAGGCTGATGTACCTTTTTGATTGGGGGGGGGGGGGGGGTACGGTGCCAAAAAATTGATCACTTTTTTATCAAAAATTCCTGAAACGAAAACACATGTTTGGGCACAAACAGGACATTTTTTCAGTACCTGAGGCCTAGGGGGGAGGGGGGGGGGGGGCGAAAGTGTGTTGTTTTTGCGTATTATTATATAAGGTAAAGGAATAGAAGATTTCTGCCATTATGCCAAAGAACTGCTTATTTCTAAAAAGCTTTTATTTTTGGTGTACTTAGTTACAATAAGTCACTCAATATCCAACTACCTTTTTCTTCTGTTGATTTTTGGCAATGAATGTAGTTAGATAATAGTGATTTAGCATTTTGTATGGAAGTCAAAATGCCTAGGGTCGCGGCCCGGTCGCCGGCAGCCCTTCACTTTGGGGTCATGTGGATCAGGCTTGCTTGCTAATGGGTTGTAAGCGCCCTGCACGGAAACCTTCAGTGGGATATTGATATATGAGATATTTTCTTTATCAGTGAAATACAGTATCTTCTAAATGTAAATGATTGCATTTTATAAAACACAATATATCAAACACAAGCTAATTAATTTATTTCTTCACTGTGATGGAAAGTTCTCAGATAGAAAATTAATAATGATAAAGTCTACATGTATACACAGCTAGATGCTTAAGTTATTGTTAAGTTATAAGTTTTAAGAATATATTCTGACTTGATGTTACTTGTAAGGTGGCACAGGTGTGACATGTGTGTGTTTTTATTTATCTTGTGCGCGCAAGATACTATGTCGTGGCCATGAGATAATTAAGTGGTGATACTATGTTGTGGCCATCAGTTACTAAGTGGTGACCATGAGATAATTAAGTCGTGGGGCAGGAGATACTATGTCATATGGCTAGAGTTACTAAGTAATGCGGCCACAACAAAATCAAGTGATGCGCACATCAGATACTAAGTCATGATGGCCACGAGTTTCTTAGTCGTGACCACGGGATAACTAATGAGATAACTAAGTCATGCACACGAGATAATTGACAAAACATATTACGAAATAGTGATATAACACAAACAGGTGTATACTCTACAAGATGTAAATTTATTCTCGGTTTTTGGTAAAATTGATTTTAATCTTCTTCCCATTAATAATTGGGCGGGTGTAACGAGAGACTTTTCGATGAAAACAGGCATTTTTCACAAAATGCTCATGCACTGAGTAATGGGTTAAACTTGATACATGTCTTTAGGATTATATTAGAAAGTCACCTTCCAAGGCCCATAAATCAGACATTATTTTGCCTTTGTTGGGACAATTCTGGCAGATAGAATTGGTCATATTGTACGTACAATGGCCTTGTTTATACAAAACTTGAGAAGGAATAAGTCCTGGTTTGTTTTATTTGGTTACAAGGGACATTGCCCAAGGACAGTAGATAGCCTATACAGATGTTTGAGGTTTGACATTTTATATAAAATTCTTGTCTGATGAATAATTTAGGACACGGGTGCCCCCACCGCAACACTGTTCTGTCAATCTTTTTACTAAGTCAAGGGAAATAACTCTACAAATACTGGATAAATCCACAAGCGAAACCCAAGGTGCAAATCTAAAATATGCTGAGCAACCTGCCCATAAGGTTTATTGACTATGTCAAATCCTTTTTGAGAAACTTGCGACACAAGTTGAAAATTGCAAAAATTTTCTAAGTGAAGGGCAATAACTCTAAAAATACTAAATAAATCCAGACGAAAATACCTGGTGCACAACTGCACATGCTGATCAATATTTCTGTAAAGTTAAATGACTCTAGGTCAAATACTTTTTGAATTACGTGCGACACATGTTGAAAATTGCAAAATTTTACTAAGTCAAGGGCAATAACTCTGAAAATACTAAGTATATCCAGACCAAAATACCCAGGTGCACAACTGCACATGCTGATCAACATTCCTGTAAAGTTTCATGACTCTAGGTCAAATACTTTTTGAGTTACGTGCGACACAAAAGTGAACGGACGGACAGACAGACGGACAAGGGTAAATCTAAATGCCTGCCACTATCGTGGGATCACAAAAAGCACAAAAAGGGGCATAATTCTGTCAAAATGCTTGATAGAGTTACCTACTCATGTTTACAGGTTGGGGTCATGATGGTGAACAAGTGTGCAAAGTTTCAAAGCCATAAGTCAATGGACTTTGAAAATATTTGAACTATTACAAAAACCTTAACTTAAATTCCAAGTTGAAAAAGGGGCATAATTCTGTCAAAATGCTTGATAGAGTTACCTCCTCCTGTCTATAGGTTGGGGTCATGATGGTGAACAAGTGTGCAAAGTTTCAAAGCCATATGTCAATGGACTTTGAGAATATTTGAACTATTACAGAAACTTTAACATAAGTGGTTACGCCGACGCAGACACCAACGCTCGGGTGACTGCAATAGCTCTACTTATTCTTATCGAATAGTCGAGCTAAAAATAGAACATTTTCCCATCCTGACCCACAATGCCTTGCGCAATAATTAATGGCCCTTTTTGTTGGTAGATTTATGCCATACTGTCTTACATAACCAAATGTGTTAACATTTTCATCCATTAACAAAATTAAATTAATTCAATATAACACAGTCAATTCTCATGTTGAACAGGTCAGACGAAACTTAATGCTTATGTTAAAACAATACAAATAACGAAGTTTTTAAACTAGTTTATTGTGATTGTCTGATTTTCAAAATTCTTATACAAATGAAAAGCTTGTGATCTTACCTTAAGTCATATCAATTTATATAATTTTCAACATATTTTTGACACAAAAGGTACTTAACTGTTATAAAGCACCACCTGTTGGCAAGTAGAGGGCGGAGTTACGGTTATCCCGGTTATTACCGTAACCTTACGGTTTCTACCGTAACCTCTCCTCACTGGTGTCCCCGCAATGTACCTACGGCTAATGGTGGGTCAATAGCGATTACCCAATTTATACAGAGAGACATACAGCAACTTGAGATACAACTGATAAATATAGCTTGTCATCTGCATGTTTTTACAGTTCGGACACTGTTTATTGGTAATAAATCACAAAAGTCATTTTAATGATTCACCAAACCTTCTTGAAACAAGAGGGCCATGATGGCCCTAGATCGCTCACCTGAATTATCAAACTCATCCAAACAATTACCTAGACAAGCATTCTGACCAAGTCTCATGACAGGTGAGTCAAAAATGTGACCACTACAGTGTTAACAAGGATTATCCATATTTGAGCAGTGCGACCTAGTTTTTTACCCAGGTGACACATATTCAAACTTGACCTAGAAATCATCATAACAAACTTTCAGACCAATTTCCAGGATACTTGGATCAAAACAGTAGCAACTAGAGTGTTAACAAGATTTTTCTATTTTTAGCTCCGGTGACCTAGTTTCACATGCGATTTCGAACTCATCCAAGCAATTACCTAGACAAGCATTCTGACCAAGTTTGATGATAATGGAGTCGAAAATGTGACCACTAGAATGTTAACAAGGTTTTTCCATATTTGGGCGGTGTGACCTAGTTTTTCATCCAAGATGACCCATGTTCGATCTTGACTTAGAAATCATCAAAACAAACTTTCAGACCAATTAACAGAATATTTGGATCACAACAGTAGCCACTAGAGTGTTAACAAGATTTTTCTATTTTTAGCTCCTGTGACCTAGTTTTTCATCCGAGATGTCCCATGTTCGATTTATTCCCAGCAATGACCTAGACAAGTTTCCTGAACAAGTTTGATGACAATTGAGTCAAAATTGTGACCACTAGAGTGTTAACAAGGTTTTTCTATTTTTAGCTCCTGTGACCTAGTTTTTCATCCGAGATGACCCATGTTCGAACTCATCCGAGTTATTACCTAGACAAGCATCTTGATCAAGTTTGATGATGATTGATGCAAAAATGTGACCGCTAAAGTGTTAACAAGGTTTTTCTATTTTTAGCTCCGGTGACCTAGTTTTTAATCCGAGATGACCCATGTTCGAACTCATCCAAGCAATCAACTAGATAAGCATCCTGACCAAGTTTGATGATGATTGATGCAAAAATGTGACCGCTAGAGTGTTAACAAGGTTTTTCTATTTATAGCTCCGGTGACCTAGTTTTTCATCCGAGATGACCCATATTCAAACTCATCCGAGCTATTATCTAAACAAGCATCCTGACAAAGTTTGATGATGATTGGGTCAAAAATGTGACCACTAGAGTGGTCACAAGGTTTTTCTATTTTTAGCTCCTGTGACCTAG